AAATAGAATATTAAATTTTAAAAAAATATAAGACATTTATCATACTTTCCGTGCAAAAGGTTTCAAATTTCTTGCTTTATATGATTTATACTTACCCCTTTCTATCTCTGAATGTATTTTTTTTACATGATCCTCCTTTTTTCTTCTTTCGTATACTAGATCTTTTTCTAATTCAATTACTTTACTTTTGAAGTCCTCACATTCCTTAGTTAACTTATTACACAATTTAATCTGCGTTTGTAATTCGTTCTCTAATTTCTCCATATCCTTCTGATGTGATTCAATTGCAGCGTATTTATTTTTCAGCATTTTAATTTCGTTTTTATGCTCGTTTATTAAATGTTCTTTCGTCCCGCAAACGTTTATGTACAATTCTTTTACACGATCTAACTCTTTTTGTGTTTGCTCTAATTGTACACTAAAAATAGAAATTCCATTTGTAGATATATTTGCATCGATTTATTAATAATATTTATTAACATTTTTATTAAGTTATATAAAGACAATGTAATTAAAAACAAAAACGATACTTACATTAATTGTACTATTTCTATTTGTGCTTCTTGCTTCACTCTTTCTACGGCTTTAGCATGTATCTCCAGGTACTCTTTGTTGTACTCATCGATGGCTTCTTTTTCTTGTTGCTCCATGGTCTCCTGATGCATTTTTTTTAGTTTCTCCTGATTAACAGCTAAAGCCTCCTCTAATTTCTGTTCCAAATTAATCTTTTCGTCGCGCAGCAACTCATACTGTTTCTTCACATCATTTAAATGATGTGAGAGTTTTTGTATTTTAGCATTTGCTTTCATGGCTTCGTCCGTTAATAGAGACTTCAATTCTTCCTCCAATTCATTAATTCGCTTGCGCGCATTCATTAATTCGCTTGCCTTCTGTGCTACTTCCTGGTGATATGTGTCAGCTAATATCAAAGCTTCGTTTAATTCCTTCTCTTTCTGTGACAAAGTATTCTCTAAACGGTTTATCTCTTTTCTTTTTACAGCTTGACCAGCTATACATCTAAACAAAAAAAGCATCGCATAAAAAATAAACAGCAAGGTTAACACAATACTTAATAAAAAATAAACGTTTAAATAATAAATATATTTAAATGATACTTACCTACGTAGTTCACCTTTTAATTTGTTTGTGATGTCATCAACGGGTTTCGATTTTGATTTATTATAAAGTTCACCCAATTTCATTTGTCTAATCGAGTCAGATTCCTCCAGAGTAGTAGCCAAAAACGAATCGTATTGCGCAACGTCGTTTTTAATTAGGTCCAATTTGTTCTACAAATAATTAATAAATAAGGAACTTATCGCTAAATCAGTTTCTTATAACTAATATTCTATTTTTAAAAAGTTGTAAAAAATAAATTACCTGCAAGTCTTGTACGTTTTTATGCAGATCTTCTTTTTCCTGAGTCAACATTTTCACTTGCGCTTGCAACTGCATCACCTGCTGAACGTTATTAGTGGTCATAAGATTACGACATTGGGTTTGACTGTCTTGTAATGCTTGCGCCAATTGATTCATGGTGTCACCCTTCTCCACCATGAGAGCCTCGTGTGCTCTTCGTACATCATCCAATTTATGCTCAAGAGCAATACATGACGTTTCCTATTAAAGATTAAACAACATAAATTAAATTAAATTAATTAAATTTGTAAAGAATATTACAAAAACGTGCAAAGTAATTTTCATAAAAAAAGAGAAACAGCACAGCTTATTATAATTAAGATTAAAATAGAGATATACACTAATGTCCATTTCCAATGAAATTAATTTTAATCTTGGTTTAATTAATTCTTCTTTTTTGAATTCTTAAAACTAGAAAAGATTAGAGTAAGTTGAATCAAGATTAAAGTTATCTACATTGATGGAAACGCATAAATGTATCAAACATATCTGTGCGCGTAAAAAATTATGTTGAGCTATAAACATGATTTAAAAAAAAAATATATATATATATATAATACAATTTAAGAACAGAATTTGATAATACCTTGGCATTTAATTTGTCCATAAGAACATCTATCTGTGTCTGCATATTTTTCATTTCCACTGTGTGTTTTTCCTGCGCCTGCTTCAAAAACTTCTCATGTATCTTATCATTCGTTTGCAACACTTGTGCTCTTTCCAATACAGCAATTTTTTGTTGCAAATCCATGACAGAGCCCCTCGCAATATTTAAATCTTCTATCATCTATAAAAACAATTTTATTGATATTGAGATATTCAATACTAATAAGAATAAAGTGCAAATACGCATCTTACATTTTGATTCGTTCTTTCCAAACCTGCATTTATCTCTTTTAGAGATTTCATTTGTATTTGTAGATTAGTTATTTCAGCCTTAGCATCAACTAAAAAAAAATAAAGACTTCAATTAACACAATAAACTGTTGGAATGACACTTAGCTCTGTGTGAAAACGGTCTTAGAAAAAGACTTATAATCGACAGTTCTGGGTTCAATCTCAACTCTCATCCCATATATATATATATATATTATATGCGCCTCAGTTTTTATTATAAAATAAAAGATTAATTGAAGAGTTAAAGAATATGAGTAAAAAGAGCACAAGGATATATAAATTCACGCTCTAAATAACTTTAAGATTTTTTCCTTACCCAATGCCTCGTGCGCTTGATTCCTCGATATGTTAGTTCTATCGACTTCTGCCTGTAAGAGCATCAGTCTCCTGCTCATTTGATTCTTCTCGTCCTCTTTTTCCAACTGCAACTGTTGGAACTCTTCCGTCAAACGACTGATCTCCCGCATTCTGACCATATATAATATTTCCAGTTGTTCCTTACTATTATACTCTGACGTTTTGTACGCTACAGCGTCGTCTATTGGCCTGCCATTCGGACTAGTCTTATAGCAATGATTCATGTGATCCGAGGTAGCGTTGTCGCCTCCGCCAAACTCATGAATTTGCTTACTTTGTACATTATTTTCATACGTGTCATTAATACCATTATTGGAGTATTTCCGGGATATACGAGTATTATAATGATTAGATGGCGTCTCATAGTTGCAAGGATAATTCTCGCTAAACGTACCCTCCTCAGCCGATTGTGGAAAAATCTTGTGGGGATAGCCGGTCGAAGGTTTTGCCAATTCGTATGGCGTCTCAATGGTGCTGTTGTCATCATTGAATCTATTATTACCATATGGCGTCCCCGTTTGCCTGTACAAATCGAAGTCGGACTGTATAGTTCCACTGCCAATCTCAGAGTCGGATCTATGATTCGTTATCACGTCACGGTCGTAACTGTTCAGATTATCCACATGATCATGATTCTCCATCCGATCGTAAACACCAAATTCTTTCTGCAAATGTGCTACCTGTCCTTTGGGCGTAATTGGTTCCAGATCAGAGTTAACCACCGTATCAATATGGTCAGTGTCTCTGGTGTTATCATATTGATCATGACTACTATTGATAGAACTAGCATCATCATCATTTTCCAAATCATCAAACTCCTCGTCCAGGCGATTCTGTATCTGAAAGGACAAGAAAGAACATACAATTAAAATTTCATGTTCCTTTCTTTTTATCGCAAAATATAAAATTTTTCTAAGACTACATGCAATTCTATACATAATTTCTCCTATAAGACAACATATATCATCGATATATTGATTGTTTTTGCAATAAAGTTATACAATAAACTTTCATCTGTCCTTTCCTATCTGTTATACACAGTAATAAAACTGCTCGATAGGGATTATCTCTACACTGTGGACCTTATATTGTTCTCCTAGCGTAGAGAATAGCAGATCTCGAAAAATTTCTCTGCGACAAAATATTACACTGGTGGACCTTGTTCAACGATTTCCACCTTCTATATATGGTGCAAAGTATAATGCAAAATTTCTCTCTCCACAACCAACTATCCTATGCAGGCAAACCAATGAAAGAGAAGAGTTGATCTGTTCAAGAAAACGAGCAATGTTACCTCTTCGTTGAGTCGCCTCTTATCCTCCTGCTCTTCGTCCTCCTCGAGTCCCTGCGTCACCGTGTTTAGATGAATGCTATCCGAGCCCTGAAACAGGCTCAGACCCGGGCCTGTCTCCATACCCCAAACTAGCTGTCGCACGTGGCTGAGAGCTCACGATGGACTTACGAACGCGTTTATTATGTGGAGCATATTTTTGTTTATAACGCCATAACCTAGACGCAACAAGTGGGTCACGGTGTGTACACACAATATTACGCGGCAGCGGGCCCCGCTATCGCGTCGCGACGACAGGGATTGCTGAATGATATGCGTCGCGATGCGCACATTCCTCGCGGAAATCTACGGATGGCTGCGATTGCGGCTATTGCTGTTGGCTGCTGCTGCTGCAGACGCTGCTGCGCGATTATTTACACACGCCACTGTATATACCGTGCACATACGCGAGAATCCCTGAAGCGCGCGCGCTTGTAAACAATCCGTGAAGAATCGGTTGTATGTACATACATACAGGCGGTATATCATAGTACGCGAGGCTCGTAAGCGGAAATGGTAATGGGCTCCCGAGACCGTCACTCGCCTCCGATTGGCCGTCGGCGACAGTTATCACCAGTTATCACTAGAGCACGATCACCCATTTACATAGCCGGACATAGCGCCTCCGTTGCCTTTGCAGAGTGATGGGAAAATTTGAAAAAATCGAATTTAAAAATCGATTCCCTTTTCTTTTAAGGATTTTCAGAATCGGATTCATCGACTTGGAAAAGAATCGATTCTAAAGAATCGTATAAGAATTTTTTACTCTTTTTTACATATTAATATATAATTGTCGCTTTTTGGAAAAACGAGGAAAATTTTGGAAAATAAAGGAAACTAGAAAAATCAGGAAATGTTTAAAATAATTCAAAATTACATATTATATTTGTAGTATATATGTATATATATTTTTATATTTACATATATTTTTACTTAATTATTACTCAAAATAAAATAATCAATTTTTCATTGCACTAGCCAATCTTTTTTGCTGCGATCACCAATATTCCTTATTTAACGAACTTAAAAATATAATTTTGGAAGCCCGTTTTCCTTTTAACCGATTGCGTTTCTCAGTAATGATATTGCCGGCTTTACTGAACAGTCTTTCACATGGCACGGAGGTACCAACAATGACTAAATATTTTAAAGCTATTTCGTACAAGTGTGGATGCAGTGCTCTCAAACGTTGCCAAGTTTTTAAAGGACACTCACTTCTGTCTACTACTGGAGAGATGAGGTATTGTCGAAATTCAGCTGATAAGCCTCCGTTCTCTCCAAATTCGTCTAAATTTTCAGATCTAGATGTCATCAATTTGTCGTGTATGTTGCACACATTATGTTTTTTAATATTGCTTTCGATATTCGATTCGGAATAGTTATTTTTTTGGCTATTTTTATTTTCGGATTCAAACATCTCCTTCATAAGTTTATTTACTTTTGTTTGAGCATATGAAACTGTGGTAATACTCTGAAAGTGCATCTTTTTATAACGTGGATCCAACAACGTTGATATTGCTAAAAACCTATTTTTTTCTATATTTGATTTTTCTGAATAAAATCTTCGTTTTATTTGATTAAGGATGTTTTGTTTTAGAGATGCAGATACTTCCGTTTTTGGAATTAGCCGATCGATAGTTACCATTAAGCAGTTAACAATTGGGATTATTTTACTGCACGTTACATATTTTTCCCCTGAAATTTCTACTGTAACCAATTCTATTGGAGATAGTAATTCACACGCATCTTCAATAGCTTTCAATTCCGCACGAGATATCATTTCTGGTGAATCTGCAGATCCTAATATTGAATTGTTGATAAGTACTGTGCTTACATGATTTGCTAACTGCAAAAATCTTGATAGCATCAAAAACGTCGAATTCCATCGTGTTTCACATTCTTGTTTTAGCTTCAAAATTTTATCTTCCGTTTTGCCTTCCTGTCTTTGCAATTTTTTTAGTGCATGTGTAGCGTTAACACTGCATTTGAAAAATGTAACAATACGCTTGACCTTTTGGATAATTGGTTTCAGTTCCTGTGTTGAAGATATAGCATCTTGTATCATCAAATTCAACGAACGGGCGAAGCATGGAACATGTTTGTTACTTCCAAATGTATCGTACACTGCTTTTTTCATGTTGGCAGCATTATCAGTGATTATAGCACACACACTCGTATTCTGTATATTCCATTCTTCACAAATATTTTTAAAAACTTGGGATATATACACTGTCTCGTGTCGGTTTTCAAGTTCATGCATTCCAAGATCTATTGATTCCAGAGTGAAGTTTTTACAGTCAATATAGTGTATTGTTATACCTAAAAATCCTTTTGTATTGTATGAATCAGTCCATATATCTGAAGTAAGAGATAAATTCTTGATGTTTGACAAGATAGCTTTAATTTTACATTGCATAACATGATATTTATCGTCCAAACGGGTTGTAATCGTTTTCCTACTAGGAATTTTATATAATGGTACTACTAATTTCATAAGTGCTCTAAAACCTTCATTGTCAACAATTGACAGGGGTTGATGATCTTTAGCAATCATGTATACGATACTGTTAGTAAGCCGAGCAGCCATAGTATCTGAATCTAAAAATAAATAATTTTTCACAAAATATAAGTGTCACAAAAGCTTCTGTAAATCGTTATTTCTATCAAGATGAGACAAATATACTTATTATTCCTGATAACATATTAATATATTGAAAATTAAAATTTAATTTTTAATTTTTTATACATGTCAAAATTAAAATTTTAATTCTGAATACTATGTGAATGCATTAAGAATTACAATCTCACATTCTTAATTACTAGTATGTATATTGAAAATGTAATACATTTATCTGATTAATTACAAAATTAATTTTGCATGTTTAATTTGTATATTTTAATCTCTTCATGTATATTTAAAAGTTATAGTAGAAACAATAAGAATATTCCAATTTTATTTAAAGAAAAACAATTTTATTTATTTGATAACACTATTACTTGAAAATTTTAGATTTACTTATAAATTAAAACAAATACAAAAGCTGTAAATACCTGCATATGAATTTATTTTATCAAATACTGCAGTAATAGAGCCTTTAGAGGCAAGATCCTTTTTAGTTTTATCGTCTGAAGACTCTGAAGTTACATTAAAAGTCATATCATTGTCGTTGAGTCCTGATATTGAGGTTGACATATGTGAAGACAATACAGAGACATCTTTTGAACTGGTAGAAGGTGTAGCTGGATCATCAGTGTCATTTTGATTTTCTAAATAAGAAAGCTTCTTTTGGTGCGAATCTTTGGTAATTTCGTTAGTACGTTTTCTCATCATATGATTAATTAAATTAGTTGTGTTTCCATAATATTTGTATATGGCATGACACAAACGACAACGTGAAGATATACTGTCAATTCTTTGAAAATATAATTCTTTTATCCTGTTTTTCCTTTTTGAAGTTTTCATTATTTAGATGTATTATCTTTATGTATCTAAAAGCAAGAATATAACTTTAGTAAAGCAAAAATATAACTCTGATAATGAGTCTAAAGTAACGTACTTTATATTCAAATAAAATGATGTTATTACTTGTTTACTTTGGTGACAAAATCAGTATGTAACAATACAGGTTTTAAAACCTCACTTTTAACGTGAATTAACAAGATTTACATTCATTAAAATATACGACCAAGCTTGTATAGATTGTAGGTAAAAAGTGAGTTGATTCTTACTTGTCAGAATGAAAAGAAACATACATTCAATTATGTATAACAAGTCATAACATTACAAATGAGAATATCTGAGTTTTGATAAATGAGTGTAAATGGAAAGCAACTATTGTCATCTGTTTTTTTACTGGAAAGCACTCTTTGCATCAAGGATTACAAACATTAGGCAATATTAGGCAGTCGTGGAGTCGTGAAATAATCGTTTTTGGTACATGCTGATGTGTGATAGAAAATAGAGAATTTATCAAAAGTATATCAGATTCAGAACGTGACAATACCTGCGATTCTTGTTGTCGCCGTTCGTGATATCGGCCAATAACAGGTAATGAAACAGAAATTAACATCGGAATAGCAATAGCGCTCGTACTGTGTGCTGTGCAGTACTATCAACTATGCGTGTACGTGACTTAACCTCCTTGTCAGCGTGCTTAACAATGCGCGTGCAATTTAAATTGCATCAATTGAATATCGATAAGTTGTTTCTTTTTTTATATGTAGGTACCGCAGCATAAAAACGACGCGCGCGTTGCCGCCGTTGCCGGTTCGAACTTGCGCGAGGTATGGCTCACGTGATATCTGTACTTTCATAGACTATTGGACTTCATAGAGGTCCCAACAATCAATTAGGCTACATTTTCATGCACTCACAGCTGACACTCGATTCGAGCATCAAATTAATCACGTGATCTTCTTCTTAGCAGGAGAATGGCCCTGATCAACCAATCACAATAAAGTATTCTCATATTCGACTGCGATTAGCCAAAAAGGAACCGATTCTCTAAAAAAAGGAATCGATTCAATAAGAATCGAGATTCCGAAGAATCAGATAATAATCGAATATTTTGAGTCTAAAAGAATCGATTTTTCAAGAATCGGAAAAGAATTTCCCATCACTACCTTTGCTTTTCCTTCTCGAGTAATAGTGTAGATCAGGCCTATCCAAAACAAGCTCCAGAGTCAAAATGTAAAGCCATTGACGTAAAAAAATTTAATGTAAGATTTTAGGAATTATAAACTAAGATAAGCGTCACTTAAGTGTATATCAATATTTTATAGTATATAAGTCCAAAAAAAAACGAAATCTTACATTGAATTTTTTTGCATCGATGGCTTTACATTTTGGCTCCAAAACTCAAATTGGACATGCCTGGTGTAGGTGCTCTTCGAAATATTCTATACTGTGTCATTAGCCAACTAATCTATACTGCTGGTATATTTTGGTTGAAGAGAGTTTGATGTGCTAATAGATTTGAAATTAAAAGAACTATTACGAAATAAGGTAGAGCGTTACAAATTAATTATTCTACTTTATTTTGTTTCACATTGTTTTATATTGTTTTACATTGTTTTATTTTGTTTCACATTGTTTTATTTTGTTTCACATTGTTTTATATTGTTTTATTTTGTTTCACATTGTTTTATTTTGTTTCACATTGTTTTATATTATTTTATATTGTTTTATTTTGTTTTATATTGTTTTTTATTGTTTTATATTGTTTCGTATGTTTTTTCTTGGTTTATCTGGAGACACAGCGCTAAGCTACGCGCAGCGCCACTACCGTGGCTACTTTACGCGAGTCGGCGAGTTGCGGCAGTACGAGATTATCGGATCTCAATAACAGCTGAATCGATCAAGTTCTAAATGTGCTCATTCGACTGCAACCGGTCGGGATATACAATGAAAGTGTTTTTATTTTTTCTCTACGTGCTTTACGAGCGGAGATATTGCGACGCAAAATACGAATGTGAAACTTTTATATTAAGAAACGTCATCGTCGTCCACGTCGTCGTCGACCAGGAGAAAATGTCCATCTCGTTTTTTCGACACTAGAGGGCTTTTGACTTAACCTAGCGATGGCAGCATTGCACATTCGAATGTGATCAACCACACATGACGGCTGTGATAATCAGCGATGGCAACATTGTCACATATACGATGTGACGTGCACGCGGCGCATTATTATTATAACTAATTGAAATTAAAATGAAATATAATTAATAAAATGAATTAAAATAAAATATTAATTACAATTAAAATGAAATATCGTATCGAGATTGTCGTTGAAGATCTAGGTATTTACCACGTCAAGGAAGAGGGTGTATAGATATTCAGGAATTAAGCGTCTAGGTGTTTGTCGTCGAGGAAGTGGGTGTCTAGGTCGAAGAAATGGGTGTCTAGGTGATCGCCATCGAGGAAGTGGGTGTCTAGGTGTTCGCTATTGGGGAAATGGGTGTCTAGGTATTCGCCGTCGAGGAAATGGGCGTCTAGATGTTCGCCGTCGAAGAAGTGAGTGTCTAGGTGTTCGCCGTCAAAGTGAATGTCTAGGTGTTGTCTACATATTCGCCGTCGAGGAAATAGGTGTCTAGGTGTTCGCCATCTCATTCTGACAGGTTTGACTCTCTAGATAGCATTCATATTTTCAGAAATACAGATTCATGAATATTAAAATGAATTCTTTTCAATTCTAAATGCATTTTTATTTATTTATAGGAATTGCATGAAACAAATGTCTATTCCTTTTCAATCTTGAATGCATTTTTATTCATTTATATATAGAAATGACATCTCAGCAAACAAGAATGGATCGAAATGAATTTTAAAATTCAGATTTTCAGAAATACGGATTCATGAATGTTAAAATAAATCCTTTTCAATGCATTCCTTTCCTGAATGCATTTTTATTCATATACAGTGATGGGAGAAAGTTCGGCAACGGTCAAATATCTTGGAAAATAATGCTTATGGAAAAAATGTTCAATACAAAAGTTTTAGTATATCAAGTGGTCTATTATATGGTTATGTTGAAATGACCTTCATGTGACCTTGAAGGACACCGTGAAGGTCAACTTTGAAATCTTAAATGGAAATACCTATTTTCTCTTACATATCCTTAAAGCTGGTGTCAAGAC